CAACCAGAGCCCGGAAGAGAGAGTTTGCTATTTCAGCCAATTTAGACTCTTGAAAGAGTCTCTCCATTTCCTCTAGGTGAACTATTGGAGCTCTATCGTTTCTTCTTCATTGAAGAGAAACCACTTCAACATCGTCATCAATTTTCTCTACATCAAGGACCAATGTATCTGGTCCTTCAGGAATTACCTCTACAATCAGAGGTTGCACCTTCTCCCCAGCTTTGGAGGAGTGTCTTCTTCTAGCACTCTTCTCTTGGGGCCGGGGACTGACAGATGATGTAGCTTCACCGGAAGAAAACGCTATATCATGAGTCCTTTTTCGGTCAAGGACTTGTTGAAGCTGTTATAGGGCATCCTTCAGGTCGAGCGAAACTTTGACGACGGGCAGACAAACGATCCTTTGGGAAGGCCTGAGACTGTAATACAAAATGGAAAGGTCAAAAGTCTATTGTCGAATAAAGATACACGTTAACAAGAAGGATGAACAAAGGTATTCTCACCATGATTCTTGCACTTACAATTTTTCTTTACTAAAATGGCTTTACAGATGCAGAGTTCCAGCGCTGAAGTGTCCAAAATATTTGAACCCACCGAGGTAGGTCTTCAATTACTTGGGGGGGGGGGGGAGGGAAGCGAGCAACTAAAAAGAAAGAAGAGAATACATTTAAGAGAATGTACGAGTATAATTCCAAGTCTCAAGAATTGGAGATTCTGACGAGAATACAATGTCTGCGGGAGCAAAAGCAACAAATATTTCTGTCCAACCATGGTCTATTTTCATCTAAGCTGGTGTTGATGATATGGTGACTACGTTTAATGAGTTTGATCATGCCTTATCAAAAGATTTTGGAAGCATAAAGACGGATCATATACGCAAGGGTGAGATCTTCTTGTGCCCGGGAGGATAGATACTGGAGACACGCTACCGTGTTCCATATTGCTAGACCCACTTGAGCCAAACATACTTGGTAACTCCGACAAAAATAGAGGATAATGGGACCAATCTCCTTTCCAAGACTAAGGATAAAAAAGTATGTATAAACAAAAACACACCTTGGCTTGCTGAGAGACACCCTCTCCACGCCAAGGAGGTCCAAAACCTTAATATATTTTTCCAGCCGCATTCCTCCTTCACAACAGGAATGCTGGCTGGCCGAATGGACGAAGGATATTCTCCGACCACTCTATTTTTGTCATTTTTTGGATTAGAGGAAGGGTTCTGGATTCGAAGATCCTTGTTAAAAGGCCATTCTTTAGGAATGATCGTACCGGTAGTAGGAGGATTTGCGTCAGAACTTTTGGGTTTGCTTTTCTTGGATGGTCCCCCACCGACAAAAGTCCCGACACTGTCGGTGGAAGAATGGATAAAGTAATGGCCACCATACGGTCATAATGTTTAGCGACAGAATATGAGTTGCCTGAGATGGAAATAGCATAAGACATGTTGGGATAGTTCAAAGTGTGATGGCAGAAGTAGTGAAATTTGTTGTTGAAAGTCGAAAGTTTTGCTAAGAAGGAGAAGTTGCAGAGAATTGAAGGAATTGTTGTTGAAGAGATTTAGAAAAGTGTAAAGTAAAATTTATGAGAAGAGTAAGTTTATAGGCGGTTCAGTAAAGTCATCATTACCTTGGTAACTGGCAAAATTATTTGTCAAATCATGGAGAGACACATGTTAAACTCATTAAATGCAAAGAGACATGTGTCATTTCAAGTGTCAGAAGCTGTTCAAGAACTTTCCCACCAAGAAAAGAGAAGGTTTTATCTACTTCTCGATCATATCAAGTTGAGTCACTGGAAAGTAGGGACTATCTGTATTGGGTAAAATTTAGAGTTTACATGCGGATATTTCTCGAGCAGACATGTGGCAGTGATGACAGGATGTAGATGAGTCATCAGTAAGCTAATACCGAATACAAACATGTGACCAGTATTATGCGAACTATGAGTACATAACGATCAGAGACAAATTGTATGGAGTACAATATGTATGTTTAGCTTGATTCTGAAATATGCGCGCCTCAGGTTGCTGTTAGTACATGTATTATGGTGACATATATGGCAAAGAAAAATGAAATACATGAAATGCATTTGATTATTAGAATTGTTATTTCCAATAATTTATAGAATTCGATGATTATTGTTATTATTATTCTGAAATAAAATATTATGTCGTCGGATATTCCAAATAACAATTTGATTTGTTTGGGTATTGTCTAATTTCTATGCATATTAAGAACATTACTACGGTATATTTGTGTATAACAATTTCAATAAAATGAGGAACGGATTAGGCTACTAAAATTAGTATTGTAAAATATAAAGATAATTATAACTATAATCTATACTATACTAAAAGCACGAAGGCCCTTAGCGAAATGTCGTTCGCCTTTTTTACCCTTTAAAAATAGATTTCACATTGGATAAAATTGTAATTATAATTTAATTATTTTTCTAATATTTAGAACTTTAAATTAGTTAAATTTTTCCTTATTAGAACTATGTAAAAATTCCTAATATTTAGGAATCCGATATTGAGTTAGATTTTACTTAGATAATTTTTAAGGTGGTTTTTACACGTTAAGAATTGTAATGAATTGCAAAGTTTTTGTCTTCGTGCATGTTTTCAAATTCTAATTCTTTGTCCATTTCTTTTTTGGACCATGTGAGTAGCAAAAATTCTAATTTTTCATATGTAGACAAAGTGTTTAAGGTGACTTTTACATTTTTTATACTTAATATAAGCACTTTAATTAATAATGATAGATAGCACGTACGTCATCTTATATATTAAATATCATTGTCATTAATTATTTTATGGAAAATTCAAAAATTAAGTGAAAGTTTTGTCATAATAGGAACTGTTAATATTTAGAATTCAAAATTGAATAATATTTTAATTCATATTAATTATTGTTTTTACTTAAATTGCATAAAATAACTATAACTCCTTAACAGTTCCTATTTTAATTCATGTTCAAAGAAGAAAACTCGAAAATTTAATTTCAAATTCCTATTTATCAAGATCTAATATCAACTAAATAATGTATATGAACGAACAAAGTTACACCGATTTTGACAATTTTATTTTGAATTAAGGAGTAATCAAAATATCAAGGTATATTTTCTTCTACTTCTAATGATAAATTCAAATAAAATTACTATATTGTCAATTCAAACGAGAGAAATGAGTTTGAATATAATGATAAACAAGTAAACAAAAAACGATAAAGTCCACAAGGAATAAGTAAGAACTATTTGTTACTAAAATTGATAATATAAGTTTGTGCTCCTTCTATATTCAATGATATTTTAGGTTCTAAAACTTTGTGTCTTTTGCTTTGTAAATATATAAAACTTTTAAATCTCTAGATGTTACTGACATTAGTGCTAAAAATATCTCAAAATTCATAATTATATTAGTTAATAATAAAAAACACAAAAGGGATATTGCATTTTTTAAAAGAAAAACACAACACTGTTTTTGATCCTTGATTTGAAGAAATACTTGAGAAAAAATTAAGTATGTGTTGTATATTAAGATGAAGCAAGGAAAAATATATAATTATATTCTAACAAATAATACTTGTATATGATTATATAACAATTAACGATTGAAAAATGTCATTTTTGAAAGTTGAATTTTTAATTATTTTTCACTTTCACGCACCTAAAGGAGAGAGTATATATATCCACGCTCTTTAAAATATTGACGTCCGGAGTTTATCAATTATCAAATAGCCAACTTCAGAGGGTAGCTAAGACTACAAATTATTTAGGATTTTTTTTAAAAACATACGCTCCATATTTTTTGCTAAGTAACATAGTCCTTTTAAAATCCATTAATAATAAGTAACTTCATTACAATCTTAACCTCCTACTTCTATAAAAAAAAAATATATATACATGGTTATGTGCCCGGATAGAAAAAGAAAGCTCACTCCAAAACAAAAAAGAGTTAATAAAAATTATAGCGATTAAATAATATCTTTTGCGATAATAATTTAATATTTTGTTAGATTTAATTTTATAACTCAAATACAAATTTTAATATTTATGTAACTTTATAATTTTATATTCATTGAGATAAGGTACACGCACAACGCGCGTATCCTAAAACTAGTTAACTTAATAACTTGAGAATTGAACTTCCAAAATGCTCTACTAATTTAATATACTTGCGAAATAATTGAATTGATATTCGTCCAATTTATGCTTCCATAATATTAATACTTTAATATTAAATTTAATAATTTGATAATTGAACTTCCAAAGTAATAATTATATTAGTCTAAATTAATTGAACTACGAAAAGAATTCTTAACAATTTCAATTATTAAATTTGTATAGAAGTACCACAATCTTAATTATCATCACTGTCACTGACAACCAAAAATTCATCATGTTGTTATTTCTTGCAATTACTATGTTTTCTAACAATAATTGTCGTTATCAAATCACTTGATGCGGGTAGTCCAACCTTGAAGCGCGCTTTTAGGGAAGCTAATGGAGTGACGGACCAGTTAGCTAAGAATGGATGTAGTTTGAACGTTTTTGGCAGTTTAATCACCTACCTCGATCCCCCGCTTTTGTTATTTCTTTTTTTGAAAGAGATAGAATGGGTACTATATTGCCTAGGCTAATCTAATGTTGTAATGACTCTTAACTTGCTTTGTATGAATAAAAGTCTTTTCTTACACAAAATAATCAGGAGATCCATGTAGCTCTAAAACTTAAAGCAGAAGGATGCCGAAAGAGAATTTGCAGTATCATGTATATAGAGGCAGAGTTAGAATTTGAACCTTATGAGTTCATGATTAAAATTATTTTAAGTTACTAGGTTCTAAGTTAATAATTTGTACATATTCATTGGATTTCTTAATACAAATACAGAGTTTGAACTAAAGCTATTGAGTTCGGCCGAACCCTCTCCGCCCCTACATGTATATATAACTACAGATAAAGAAATGCCATGAAAAATACTAAATGGCCGACTGAGGTTGTTCTGTAGAATGGAGCCATTCTATCTGCAAGTACTTTTAAAACATAAATATCTTGTAATGATCTCCATTTCAGCTTGAATAACTGATTAGAAGCTATCAGAATTGACAATTAATTGTAGTTTAACAAAGCTGTGTGTTTTGCATAATCAGCATTTGGTTCAATTAAGCTTGATATGGATTATGTTACAAGGTAAACTGTGGAACTTTTAAAGAAAGTCAGGAGATCCATATAGCCCTAAACTAAAGCCAAAAGGAGATCATTGGAGAATTTGCAAGATCATATATAACTAGAGATCAAGAAATGCCATGAAAAAATGCTTTGTTCTGTAGAATGGAGCTTTAAATTTAAGTATCTTCTGATCTCCATTTCAGCTTCATCACATCGAATTGAAGAGGCAAAATTGTTCCCTTTTCCATGGAATTTCTCTGGATAAAAAACTGCAGCTTAGTAAGGAAATTTGTTGGTTTAAAGGTATTGAGTTTGTATTCTCTCTCGGTTCTGTTCCCACCACAGCTTTGCATGCACCTCTCCAAACTTCTCTCGGCTGTGCGAATGAAGAACATATCATTTGCTGAACATGTCAAAAAGCACTAGCAAAAGTTGAGATTTTCAAATACCTGAATCTAACACGGCGTAGCTCTCTAGTGCCATCAACTAGTTGTCTGATGGTTATATAGACCCCAGGCTCATCTTGTTCTACCCATTCTGACTCCATTTCACTAGCATTACTAACGGAAAGTGAAGCTTCATCTCTAGAGTCAGTGGTAGTCCTTGACGCGTCCATATATGACATGTCACCCTTTGGGAAACCAGCTGCATAGGCAGTAGTTGATCCTGTTGGTTTATGGTAACTGCTTGGAGTCCAGTCCTTGTTTGTTGCAGGAGTCATCATAGGGCTCTCCATTGCAGATCCAAGCCTCGAATAATTGGAATCTCTCTGCAGAAAAACATATCAATATCTCTCTCCAATTTTATTATTTACTCCTACTTTATATTAAGTTGTAGTAGAAATGTATGCATATATAATTAGATTATTGAGCATTCCAGATCAGATATGAAGCAGTGGAACTATTTCTTCAGGTTATCTAGTTTTTGAGATGGAACTTGATGAGCACAGTCTTCTGAATCAAATAGTTTTAGCGCTGTCATTGATTTGTAGACCACAAAAGTATAACATCTTGTTTGTGGAAAATAAATAGTATTGACTTGAGCTGGCTATTTATTTTGAACAGGGTGACTAGCTAATGGAAACTGCGCAGCTAATACACATATAACTGAGTTAATTTTCATGGACAATAATGACGAAAATGGAGATAAAGGCTGTACGAAGATAAATCAATTGAAAGTGACTTACCCCATCCTCAGACCGTCCAGGCGTGTTAAGAGCTTGTTTATTGAATCTCTGAACATTATAAAGCTCCATAATTCGGTCATAATTCTCACCCCACCATCTTTGAGCTTGCCATTTGTTGAACATGTCCCGACTGATTTAAGACCAATGAGTAAAATCAACTGTTGTTTCAATAAGGATTAGAATAATACCTGTTCTTTTACTAAGGAAATGAATAAACAGACTACACTTGGACAATTCAACAGCTTATCGGGCCAGTTAGAAAGCTACAGATCATGGATGCCTTCAATTCAATAGGCCATAAATTTAATAACAAGGGCATAGCAAGTAAAATACTTATGTTTCTGATAAGTCACAGTGAGATAAATAATTTGAGGGCCACAGTACTAAACAAGTGAGATGGTTGAGCACACAAAAGTGGAACAAAGAAAAGGAGAACTCAATTAGATGAAAAGGACTCAACATTAATCTAGGACAAGCATAATTAATAGTATATAACTAATAACAGTTTAAAGAAGCTTTCATTACCAAAGAGGTTGTTTCTTAACTAAAATTTTACAGACAAGAAGTTGGCACAATCAAAATTCCCATAATTTACTTTCTAGATAGAAATGAAAGGACATTTTTGAAAGATACCTAAAGCGGATTCGTTTAAGATCATTTCCACCATTAGGGAGAGAAACAAACGTGATCTGAACACCAGGCTCGACCTGTGCTGTCCACTCTTTTTGCTCATCATTTTCCACCACCACATCACCGCCACTAAATCCTCTAGCAAATCTTGGATCAGGTCTAGGAGTCCTTAGATTTCCAGCATTTGTAAAATCCCAAGCTGGAGTAGAACTAGAACTTGCTGGTTGATATGGATATGGAACTCCCTCTGATATTGTATCAAAATCAGGATATGGTCTATGCCCTTTCCTGTAACTACTTGGTGTAGTTGACTTGCATTTATAAGCTCCTGAGACCTTTAAAGCAATATCCTTGATCTGTAAATGTTTAAGATCACAAGAATTAAGTACAAATTCAGGAAGATGGATTCTTGATTAGAAGATGAAATGTTGTACTCCCTCCTTTCAATTTATGTGAACCTGTTTGATTGAGCACGGAGTTTAAGAAAAAATAAGACTTTTGGAATTTATGGTCCTAAACAATTCAAAAAGGGGGCCAGAATATTTGTGTGGTTATAAAAGCTTCTCGTTAAGGGTAGAATTGCAAGTTTAAGCAAAATTATTTCCAGAAAGGGGTCATTCTTTTTTGAACGGACCAAAAAGGAAATAGGTTAACGGATGTGTATAAGTTAAACAGTAAATGTTGGTTTAACATTACAATGACAAATTAAAATTCCAGTTGATTTTAAGCTACAAGAAGTCAACCAAGTGTGGTTTCCATTTGATCAGCAAGCAAACCAATATGTGTCATTTGTCTTGTAGTATGAACCAAAGAACAGTCAAAGCAGATTGTCCAAAAGCTAAATTATACTATTTTATAGGTCCAAAAGCAAAAATTACTGTTTGAAAGTCACTTACTTTCACAAGTTAACTTTGTGGGGTACTACTGATCAATTCAACAGTTGAACTTGTGAAGTATTGAGTAAGCTGGAGGCTGGACTACAGTGAATGGACAAGATATCAATGGTTGGTCATGTCAAAGATATAGCTTAGACAAGTCTTTGCCAGACATGAGAATTGTCTTTTCTGACAATCTGCACTAGTTTACATGTTAGACTGTTCTTTTTTATTGGGTTTGCAAATTCTAAGTAGACCAAAACAAATTCACTCCCACCTAAGCTGAAACTATGGTTACCTTGTTCAATGGAAATCTACCTTGGAGATGCTCACACTGGTATAGCCTATGTTTAACATATCTAAGAAACAAATTCCTTCATTAAAGATATACTATGTTGTTTCATCTTAGGCATAGGGCGAATTTAGGATGTAAAAAATCAGTAAGTTCAGAGCAAGGGTGAAAGATGTATATATTTTATAAAAAAGAAATTATATACGTATATGTAGTTCGAACCTAAACTAATGTGTTCAGCTGATTGTGCTAAATTTGCCTGTGTGTGTGTGCGCATGTTTTCAAGATATGTGAAGAAGTTTGAATACAATTCCTATCAGATGATTTTTACATTTTGGTATACTCCCTCTTATATGTTATGTTATACAGATTAAAATTTCCTAAGCTTCTTAGTGGTGGCCAGTTGGTCAGCCTAACCAACTTATAATAATATTGTTGGATGAAAATGAATAAGATTAGAAAAGTTTATTATAATTGGAAGATGATGAAAGAATGAAGAGGACCACTAATGAAAGCAAAGTAAAGCAGGAACATTATGGGACCAAGAATTTAGACACATGATCCAAGAAATAACGTGAACAAGAACATGACCCAATCTACATTGTTCACCTATACTCTCTTCATGCTTATAAGCATAAATAAATAAAGGGGTGGGGTCAATAAATTAGAAGTCACCACAAAATAAAAAAATAATTGTTTTATTTTATAGGCACATTCTATGGTCCTCACTCACTCCTCTCCTACAACCCCCGCGTGACTAAACAAAATGTTCATTTCATGTTCTCTCCTAATCCAATGCCCAAATCCAGCTGGGAAATGTGGGCCCAAAAGGTTCAATTGTGGTTCCCACTAAAGGCTAAGCGACACTTCTCGTACTAAGAGTCGGTCAGCTTTGGGCAAAGAAGAGAAAAAAAAAAACCAGAAAAATACCCTTTCAATTTCCAAACGCTTTGACATTTTTTTTAGAATTTGTAATGCTTGAGCTAGAATTTAGAAAAGCTTATGCTACATTAGGTCCAAAAATTTTACTAGTTAAACACAAGTAATGAAACTATAAGGCCCATTCAAGTGAATATCGAGCCCGTGCAAAGGTTTTGGTCAAGCTATGTCAGTCCACCAAATAATGGAACTTAACTATATACCTCCAATCGTATCTTTGAAATCCCACACACTAATAATCCACTCTTCTACTCTAAAGCTGGGGCGGAGCTAGAGTACCGGAAGCGGGATCGGCCGAATGTAATAATTTTTGATTCAAATTCTATATTTGTCTTTAAAATTTATTATATATATACAAACTATTAATTTAAAACTCAATAACTTAAATGATTAGAATCTCGAACCTATAAAATTAAAATCTTAACTCCGACTCGCTTCAAAGGACAGACTTAATAAATGGAGTAATCAAATAGTATGATATTCGGGGTAGGGATCAAATTGGTACGTTTTCCTACATCTCCTCCTCTTATTAAATCTTAAACTTTAATCGAATTAAATTTTAATAAAGTTGTAAAAAGGATAGGTTGAAAGAGAGGACCTGCGCCGTGAGGCTTTTGACGGAGTCTTTAGTATTGGGAGTAGGACGGGGTCCCTCTTCACCTCCATCATCGTCTATCTTTTGCTTACACGTGATACACGTCAACATCCTCTCCTTCTGCTTTCTCTTTTCCCTTTTCTTTTCTTCTCTTTACAGTACCTACAATTTAAAACATACAATAAATTAATAAGCCAAAAAAATGCGCACACCCTTATTTATCAAGTAGTTTAATATACACTTTGTTATTTTGCTCTGAAGAATCATGATACCTTGTAAATATTGATTTCTCTAGGTTAATAATATCTTAAATTATTTCAAGCTGGCTTGAAATAAATGAAAATGTTATAGATGATAAATTATTCAAAGAACCGCCATCTTGACAAACTAATGTTTTTTTAGAGAAATAAATGGGATACCCACCACACAGAGATTATTTAGGGAAACAATCTTCCTTTTCATTTCACATAATATCTTTTCCAAAATAAGCCCAGCGTAAGATTATAGAATCTTTTTTAAAGCACACAAGACAAAGTAAATAATACTTTGACCCCTTATTTTGAAAAAAAAAATGTACAACCTTAATTTGAACAAAAAGATAAAAAATGCTGACTCAAATCTTGAAAATGTGAAGTTTATGGAGAAATACCTGACTGTTATATCAAAATAACTTGATTAGAATAATGAATAAGCCTATAAGCCAAAGTTATAATTATCTTGTCTCCCCACCCAAAAGACAGACAAAATTCGCAAACAACAGAAACAAAAAGAAAAGAAGTTAAAGAGACAGAGAAAGAAAAAGAGAGACAAAGAAGGCTTCGGATCAGAGGAAGTACTGATAGAAAAGGGAAAGAGAGAGAGAGTTTATTAAAGAAGAAGAAGAAGAAGAAAGACTAAAAAGAACAGTCAATAATTGAATGCCCAAAAGAAATCTCATATAGAAAGTTCATAATGAAAACGAAAAAAAGAAAGAAAGGAAAAGATTTAAATCAAAAACTCATTCAAAATCAACTTTTTTCATTTCTGAGTATATAGAGCCGAATTTTCTGACAGATTATTCATCATCATAAATCTTTATTAATCAATTATCACACCCTTTTGCTTCTTCATTGCGAGGAAAAAGAGAAAAAAGTGTAAAGAGTAGCAGTAGTAGCAGCAGTAGTAGTAGGATCAGTAGAGCAGCAGAGAGAAGGGAAAAATCTGGTTGGTTGAATGAATGATAAATCGCTGTAGAATTTAATAAACGCTGTCGAGTTTTGAAAGCGGCAACTGATTCTACAAACAGACAAACCCCGTTTAACCATAAAACACTCTTGATAGCGACCTACCCAACCCCACAAGAAAATCCGATTGTACTCTCTTAATTTTATTTTGTAGTTTGGCATCATTTTCTAATTAATTTCTTCAAAAATGAATGATATACTATCATATTTTCTTAAGAAAAAGCTTTTATAATAGTACAAATATATATTATGCTATATTTAACATTACTAAGTTTAAAAAAATCTTATGGCGGTACAAAATTTATTATTTATAAACCCAATATTGAGTAAAACTATGCCAAATAAATTGTTTCAACTTTATTCATACCTCAAAATGGATAAAAGAAGTTGCAGCAACTGAGCTAAAACACTGAAAATGGCTTCTATAGAACTTCTCTTTCTTACTTGTTTCGATTACCCTTTTGCGAATCTCGGAAATATAAAATCAAATCATCATAAATACAGCTGCTTCTTGATCTGAAATATATATTTTGCCGGAGCTGGCTAGTCTCCGGCGACAATGAGGGAGAGATTTTCAAAATGTGATGCTTGTAAACGGAGGAATTCAGATTCTCAGCTGCAGGTTTTACCTTAACATATAACTATACAAAAATGAAAGCAGAATCTACAAAGAACACAGAGAATATATAATAATGGAAGAGAACAAATACAGAGTGCAGACGAAGTAAGAGAACAACTTTAGATAAATATTGAGGTATTTATAGAGGGACGTGACCCCGTCATATTATCTCGTCGTTATATAACGGAAACTGTGAATTTGCATATCGAATATAAAGGGGCTACTCTGCAATGATGGGCTGTACGTTGTGCTCTAGGGTTTGGACATTGCTGAGGGTTTTGTCATTTAGACAAAAGGGTTTAATGTGGTCTTGATTGGGGAGGACATGATGGGCCCATATGTCGAGGTTGTACATGTGGCATTAAGGGAGTGGATCAACCTCGAAATGTTTAATAAATATTTTGGTTGGGAGAATTAGGAAATTGGTTGGTGTATTTAAGCAAATGAATTAAAAACAATTAAGCAAATGATTCTGTTGGATCAAAGAACAATCAAATCATTGTCTCTTTAATTTTCGTCATAAAAATATATGGTGGCGGTTCTTATGTAATCTGATTTAACATCATTGTTTCCTTTCTAATATTTTAATTTTAAAATGACTTACCTTTATATAATACATGTTTGATTTCACTTATTTACAGTATTTTTTTATTTTTTTTTGCATATTTAATTGCGGAAAAATAAAAACACTGGATTTGCAGTGGTTTCTTAGTCACTAAATTTAAAAACTAGGCGTGTAACATTTTCTTAAAATCAATCCAACCAATTGAATCGAAATGGATTTTAAGTTTTCATTAATGAACTTGTAGTCGAACTCGTACCGTACTTAAGATAAATATTTATTTTCATATAAAAACATTTAAAAATGTAGTACCAAACGTACGTGATAATATATATGTATAAAAATATGACATATATAAATACAACATATAAACTATTAATATTTCGATCACTGAAATATATCAAGACGCTGGCTTTTATTTAAATAAGGAAGCGTATACATTTTTACCATTGTAGAAAGTTCAACAAATAAACAATAGAGTTATTCCAAATAGAATTTATAATTTCACGTACATTTTTAAATTTTGTTTTTGCTCATATACTAATTATTTTTTAAGTCTAGTTTTTTTCATACATTTTTTGGTTGCCTTAAGCGAGACAAGGTTGAATATAAATGAGGAAAGTTAATGTCGTCAATATTCTTTTTACTATTCATTTTTGCTCTTACATTTTATTAGTTTTGACTCTCTTAATATATGTTCCACTGAACAATATCAACAAGCAATATGCCCTTAATAGAGTAAGATAATGTGTATCATAAAAGTATTTTTGAAAGTATGTATATTTGAAAGTTATTGTTGTTCATTTCATACATGTTGTTTCTTAACATGAGGATTGCAACTTTTTATATATGTTATATAGAAAATTCGTACTTTTGGGTAATATAAGTATCAAAACGTAATCGAATCGATACCGCTATCATCGAGATACTAGAAAAATCTAATTTTAATCATACAAAATCAACTAATCAAAAAATTAGTATATAACATCTATATCTATATCTATATATTATTAAAAAGAGGGGAAAAGCCCTCTTCTTAAGCCAAATGGCAGCCTAGAAAAAAGTCACATGACATAAGTAGTTAATAATTCATTATTTAGTTAATAAATAGTTATTGGTTATTATTTTTAAATTTAAATATCTATAAAATAAATCTATATATTATTAAAAAGAGAGAAAAAAGCCCTCTCCTTAAGTCAAGTGGCAGCCTAGAAAAAAGCCACATGGCATAAGTAGTTACTAATTAGTTATTTAGTTAATAAATAGTTATTGGTTATTATTTTTGAATTTAAATATCTAAAAAAACAAAAATTTTAAAACAACCGTCCATTCAAATTGGAGAGCAGTTTCAAGTTAGAGTTTTTAAATTATTTTAAAATAAAAAACTAAAATTACAAAAAATAAAAAATTGCCAATTCAAAATTTCTTTGTTTTTTTAATAATTATTATTTTTATTTTTAAAAATAAAATTTTATTTATTCAAAAAATATTATTGAGAATAATAGAATAAAAAAAATATATATATCTTTAATTATATTATAAAAAGAAAGTAGAATACAAAAATTTAAATAAAGTAATATGCTAATAAAAATTTCTATTAACAATGCAATAATACTAAATATTGGATAATATAATAAAGAAAAATAAAGAACAAAAAAATTATTCAATGACTATACAACTCTCTTTAATTTAATATAAATTTTATTCATTAAAATATTATTGAGAACAATAGGATAAAATTTAAAATAAAAAAATATTTCAAGAGTAATAAAATATATATCTTTTATTATATGACAAGAAGAAAGTAGTAGAAAAAAATATTAAACAAAGTAATATGCTAATAAAAATTTCTATTAACAATGTAAAAATACTAAATATTGGATAAGTATAATAAAGAAAAATATAGAACAAAAGTTATTCAATGACTATACAAGTCTCTTTAATTTATTAGAGATTTTATTCATTAAAATTCAGACAATATTATTGAGATTATTAGAATAAAATTTAAAATTAAAAAAATCTTTCAAGAGTAATAAAATATATATCTTCTATTATATTAGAAAAAAAGTAGTAGACAAAAATATTAAACAAAGTAATATGCTAATAAAATTTTTTATTAACAATGCAATTATATTAAATATTGGATAATATAATAAAGAAAAATACATAACAAAAAAGTTATTCGATGACTATATAAGTCCCTTTAATTTAATAGAGATTTTATTCACTAAAATTCAGATAATATTATTGACAACAACAAAATAAAATTTAAAATAAAAAATATTTCAAGATTAATAAAACATATATATCTTCTCTTAATAAAACGAGCAAGCAAAAATAGTAAATAAAATAATATGCTAATAAAAAATTTCTATTAACAATGTAAAAATACTAAACATTGGATAATAGAATAAAGAAAAATATAGAATAAAAAAGTTATTCAATGACTATATAAGTACCTTTAATTTAATAGAGATTTTATTATTGGTATATCATATTGACAAACAAGATGACAATTAAAGTTTATTAAAGCAATACGATCTAATATGTTCAAACAAACCTGATCATAATTTAATTTAATTAATATTGACCGCGCATCGCGCGGGTATAAGTACTGATATTTTTTAAAATAGCCAGTTGAACCGAAACATTGGCATCTTACATCTTTATGTGTTATATGATATAATGTGTATTAAATCTTCTAAACTCAAACAAACACTTTTTTTTAAAAATTTAGAAACTGATTTTGTAGTTTTAAATTGACAAGCAAATGTCACCACCTAATCGTGGGGAAAAATAAAAATAACAGCAGCAAGGAAAGGGAAAAGTTATGCGGCCGTGCAAAAAAATGGATGAAAGGTCAAATCAAAATGCACGGTGAGAGTACCTAGACTTTACCACACACAATAGTATCAAACGTATACATTTACAAATCCTAATTGGAATATAGCAACGTTCTTTCCCATCTCGTCAAACCCCATGCAACTACTTCAACAAAAGAAAAGAAAAAAGATTCTTTTTATTTTCTTCTTCCTCCTCACACTCCATCGTTCCCTTCTTCATTGATTCTACCATTTCACATTGGGGAGAGACAAAATTGAAAATTTATGAAAAAATGAGCATAAATTCAAATGATACGTGTGCTTTTGGGCTTAATAGCCCAAACAAATCCATAAGGTTTCTTGGGCAAAGCGCATTAACATAATTATTAAAATAAATACTTAATTCATCTCAATTTAATATAAATGTGTTAATATTTGGGGAGTCAAACCATTTTTTTTTGTTACTATGATTTTATCAAACTCTTTTATTTAACATATTAAATTATTAACTACGTAGATTAGGAGTACCTTTTTTTTTTAATCGTTTTCAAACTTGTAGATTTTACTTTTAAAAAGAATAAAATTTTGTAGTTGAGTTAACACCAAAAATTAAGTGTTTTGACATAAATTAGGACATAAGAAGTACCTAGTAGTTTTGATTTAACTTATCACCTAATCATGATAAACTTACATGATTAAATACAGCAAAGATTTCAATTAAGTTTTCCCTTCTTAACTACTCCTATATATATGGATATGGAGAAGATAGAGGTGCAGAGGAAGGGACGATCTTTGAGTTTGTCTAATAACCTTGGTTAACTTTTTCTTCCACATAAGTTGATTAAATCCTTTTAGAATCTCTATCTTCCGAGTTGGGTTAGACTATGCTCTTAATTATCTTTTATTAGTTCATCATTAGCTATAATGTCACAAAGAAGTAAAATTTCGCTGTTTTTGTCGTTAAAGGCTAATTTGGGAGTTTGACATTTTATGCCTTATTTACTGTATACCGTACGTTAGACCATAGACCATAAAACAAAAGGCTTTTGCTGTTTTGCCGACTGACTACCGGCTGTGACCTTTCACTGCTGCAAATGCCATAATATTATGGGCAGAGAAGATGAATAGAGAATAGAGATGCTCCAAATTTCA